TATGGCCAGCGTGGACAACATGGCAAGACTCTATCTGAAAGGGCTGTGGTCCTGGCTGCTTGGGGAGCTGAGGCTGGAGGTCTGAGACACAGTGAGAGCCTATCGAAAACATCACCACTGCCACCATCCCACACACAGAGTGACCTACTCACAAAATTGTGAGCTAAATAAATGGCTTGTGTTTGGAGGTCATCACTGGGTTCGGAGGTCATTTATGAAAGAAAAAGTTTTCTGGTATAGAATTGGAGGACTCTACGTGCCATGGGACTTGGGATCGCTGCATAAGAGCCTGTGTCCCTGAGTTGCTATAGGGGAGGATACCAGCAAAGTCTGACCTGAGCAAGACTAAGTATGACATACAACATGCAAAATAAACTACAGGCAAGAAGCCCACATCAACGCATATGATAGTGGCATTGCAGCATACCAAAATCAAAGACATCCAAAACCCACCAGAGGAAAGAAATTACTTGTAAAAGACCCACGATGATATATAAAGCAAATGCTCAACAGCAGCAATAGAAGCCAGAAGACATTGGAATCTTCCGAGAGCTAACAGAAAATAACTGCTGATACATCATAGATTAAATGAGAAGAAAATAAACCATGAACAACCTTACGGCAATAAATGTGAAAAACTAGACAAACTTATAAAAGTGTGGCTTATTGGGTTGTTTGAAAAGTCATGATGCACTTTTTTTGCATAGAAAAACACGGCAAGACTTTTCTGATGACCCAGTGTACTATAACGGGCTCAAACTAGTCACATAAGTCTTTTATTTTGGAGAGGTTTTTGCTATAGGGCGCGTGCACTCACCAGAAAGACAGAGAGAGACAGAGAGACAGAAAGCGAGAAATCACCCCCCCCAGGGGGGATGGTCACGCTGCAATCCCTTCTCCTCCATTCTCCTCTCGGAATCTTAGGCACGCACGCACACGCGCCCAGCGTGAGTTTTAAGCCACCGGGTCCGGGACGCAAACTGCGGTCGGCTACATGGGAGTTCAGCAACATAGCCATTACGATAACTGCTGGTCCCAAGTCCCATAAGTCTTAAAGCTATTGAATCAGTAGTTACAGCTAATCCTGTAAGGAAATACCAGATCAAGCAACTTTTTAAGGTGAATTCTTCTAAACTTTTAAATAATAAATCATTCCAATCTAATACAGAGTCTTTCAGTTTATTTTGGTAAAAGAACGGATACTCTCGCACTTACTAATGAGGCTGGTATTATAACGTTGACAATAGTCATTCAAAGAATATAAGATAATTATAAACTATCTCACTTACAAACATAAACACAAAATTCTAAACAAAATAAAAGTAAATCCCAAACTGTTCTAAAACAATACAGAACGTACCAGTGATGGTCGCAGCGGGCTGGCAGGCAGAGTAAGATAACTCAAGGGGGTGGTCTCAGCAGGGTGGCACACATCGCAGGCCAGCTCAGGGAAGGCTGATTTCCAAAGCTGTGGTTAAGATGAGGGCACCAGGGCCAGCCAGGTGATGTGGTGGTCAAGGCGGCTGGATCCCACACGGACAACAGTGCAGTTCAAGCCCCAGATCCAGCAGCTTGAAAAACATGCGGGGCATGCATGCCCCAAATCCAGAGAGGAGCATGGAAGAGAAAGGACTGTGGCGTGGTCACCCCTTGTAGGGAGTGCTTTCTCACTTTCTCTCTGCATTTCTCCAACAATTGCACATGCCCTGTAGCAAATTAAAATTAATTTATAATTTTTTTTAAAGATGAAGGAACCACAGCAGTAACCAATCATCCTGCACTGGTTACACTGCAAAAGAGTGGATACCACCCTAGGCCAGAGGGGCAAAGAAAGGGAGAGGTTACATGCATTTCTGGTGTTTCTGGGCCCACACTGCCTGAGCAGGCTTCTGGTTGCTGGCAGGTATCTGACTGGCACCTGCTGCAGGTGGTTTCAGGCAGGCCCTGGCCTGTGACAAGAGCACCATGACCTATTTATACAGTCAGCAGCCGGGGTAATGGCTGCAGGCAGCTCAACAAGCCAGGCATGGTTGCAAGTGGCAAAACTAACTGGCCACTGAAGCAGAAAGCAGTTGATTGGCAGGATGTCAGGCCTCTGAAGGAACCCAGAGGAAGCAGTTAGGTTTGCCATTTGCACCCAGAGAATACCATTCACATGCTGTGAATAGCAGTGACCTTCAGGTATGGGATGCAGTCAGCCTGGGTTGCTTGTTTGCAAAGGATATTGTAACAATGAACTGCAGAGACCGCAGAGATTTATTGTCTCACAGATCTGGAAGTGTGCAATCCAAGTGTCAGCAGGACTGGCTCCTCAGAATCTGGGAGGGAAAATCTGTTTCCAGCCCTCTTCTTGGTTCGTAGTTGGTCATTTTCTCCCTGTGTCTCTTCTGACGGAAAGATAGTCTTCCGTCTGTGTGTCTGTGTCCAAATCTCCTCCTCCTCTTCTTCCTTCTTTTCCTTCTCCTTCTTTCTTCTTATCCTCCTCCTTCTTTTTTTTTTTTTTTTTTTCAGAGAGAGATTTTTTACTACAGGGTACATGTGCTCACCAGAGAGATAGAAAGCGAGAAATCATCCCGGGGAGTGGGGGGGATTGGAATGCCCACACATGCACCCGGTGTGCAAATCTCTTCTTATAAGGATGCCAGTCATCCTAATCACCATGTTTTACTTGATTCCCTTTAATAAAGATTTTATCTACAAATACAGTCACATTCTGAGATGCTAGAGGTTAAGACTTCAAGATAAGAATTTTTGAGGACACAATTCAACCTGGAACACAGAGGTGACCTCAAAGACAGAGTCAAATCTCTGTCTACTCCCTCTGATGTCCTATTGGAGCTCAACAAGAAACCACAGGGCACAGAGACCGTTGCTGCATCTGTGGAAGTCAACACAGAACACAACCTGGACACGTGGGCAAGTGGAGACACGTGGCTCACACTCTGACTAGATGCCCTTCACTCCAGGAATGCAAGGCTGGTTTGACATTAGAAATCTATAAATGCAAGTTATCGCATTAATGGATCCAAGAAGGAAAGTCATCTGCTCATCTCAATAGACACAGAGAAGTCATTTTAAACCGTTCACCACTCACTGGGAAGAAGATGCAAGGAGAATCCATGTCAGGAGTGGGTTATGTTGAGCTCAAGCCACACAGTTCTCTGAGTCCTGGCAAGTTGCTAGAGATCCCTATACTCACAAGCAGATATTCCATACTCTGTGACCCTGGGCATCGGCACCAGCACTGTCCTCCAGTCACTGCCTTAGGTTGTGGCCTATGCAATGGCCAGGGGACACATAGTTTCAGCAGTGGTTTCAGTTGGTTTGAGGGCTCTATGGCCCAGGGCAACCAGGAGAAGGGCCTGAGCTCCCTGTGCTGGTTGTCCTCTGGATACCTGTCTCTCTCTCTCACTCTCTCACTCTCTCTCCTTTGTCCTCAGAACTCTGGCTTTGCTGGTGACAACAATCTTGTTCCCTGTCCTATAGCATCCTCTGCAGCCAGGTATGATCATGTGATCCCGTTCAGGCTACATGTGAATTTGCTGGGGAAGAGGGTTCTAGAAACACTCCTGCTGTCCTGATAAAGGGGGCAGCTATAACCAGCAAACTCAGTCAGCAGGTGGCTGACTGCTGGGCTTCTTATTACCAGAGAAAAACAAACCTCTTCTGCTTAAGCTCCACCAGGCAGGCTTCTGAATGTGAGTGACAGGACCATGAGCAGAGTATGTGGCAAAGCCTGCATCTTCCTGTGCCTATGAACGTGCCTGATGTCTGAAAGCGTGACTCGGAGGTGACCCCACTGGGCTGTGGGCACTGAGTGGCAAGAGCCCCAGAGGTTGAGTGAAGGGAGGAGGGCAGTACAGGAAAGGACATTCTCGGAGGTAGCTGAACAATGTGACCGAGGGCCTGGGGTCAATTTCAGGAGAGAGGCCAGAGGGGCCAGTGCACAGATGAGAGGTGTAGAAGAGCCGCAGAGATTGTGGGGCTCCAAGGTGGGACTGGCAGCACCATGGAGAAAGCCTTGCCCATCATGAGAAGAGCAGATCTTGGCAGATGAGGCTGGAAAGCAGGGAGTAGCCTGTGGTCACCCAGAGGAGACAGATGTGTCAAGGACTGGTCCAAGGTGGGGCAGTGGAGATGAGGAAAGGGACTGGTTGGGTCTGGGTCTAGGTCACTAAATATGGTGCCACCTGCTGACCCCCACCCTCATACCCCCACCAAGGCCATGGGCTCCCTGGTGTAGGAACTGCAGTGTCTTCCTGGCCTCTGGCTCTTCCTGGAACCCCAAGACACACAGGACTGGGCACCAGCTGAGGATTGCCTGCCTCTGCCCCACTCCAGCCCATGTTTGTCATGTCAGTGAACCCTGTCCCCACACAAGTGCCTTAGGGCACCTTCAGCTTCTGACGGCAGCCCACAGGCGCTGGGGGTCTGCGCCTCCCTCCACGTGCTCCCACCTGCTCCTTTCTGTGCAGAGGCCGGGGGCGGCTCCAGGGAGTTGAGTACCAGCAGTCTCCCTCACTGTGACTTGCCAGTGCCCCTCTGGTCTCCTGTGTTCTCCCTCTGGAAAGCACAGCTAAGGGAGAACAGCCCGTTAGGCCTCTGTCTACAGCCAAGCGACAGCCAGCAGGTGTTCTCAAGAGGCTCACCTTGTTCAAGTGTTAATACTCCATGCACTACCTGACTTGGGCCCCGCCCACAGTCTGGGGGCCTAGACTCGGTTTCTATGTCCTGTCCCAGGATAGTCCAGGGTGCCTGGGCCTAGCTGCTTACCTGCCATGGGCAGCCCAGGAGGGTGTGAACTGTACACTGATGTGCCCTGAAGAGGGCCTGGACTCAATGCTGCCTTGGGCCGTGGGGCCAGGCCCCACAAGGTCGCAGGCTCCCATCTCCATTGAGCACTTGGGCTGGCTCAAGGCCCCCAGCCCCAAGACCGCGTCAACCCCAGACAGGACCAGGGAGGGAAGGCTGGCAGCAGGCAGGGCACAGGGAGTGTACGCTGGGTTCTTGGAGACATCTTTATTGTCTTAGAGGCAGGGAATGGTAAGAAGGCAGGATGCCCCCTGGAGGGCCTCAGGAGGGAGCTACAGGTCGCTTGGGAGGTCGTATCCGGTCGTTGATCCAATCCACATAGTTGGCTACTCGGGTGTAGACGCCAGGCTTGTTGAGCCGCCCACAGCCGTCGCCCCAGCTGATGATGCCGTACAGGTAGGCCACACCGTTCTTCTCACAGGCCAGGGGCCCGCCCGAGTCCCCCTGCAGCAGCACCCGTCAGATGCCCACCAGCAGCCAGGGGCCCAGCGCAGGCAGTGTGGGCCCAGAAACACCACCCTCCCACCCCAGCCTCTCTCCCTCCAGCCCAAAGACCCTTGAGGAGTGAAAACCCGGAAGTCCCAGGTGCTCCTAACCAACATAGGACTCCCAGGATGACAGATGACAAAGGTACTTCTGCGTAAAGGAGCTGTCCCACTGTCTCTGAGCCTCATTAGACAGGAAGTCATCTCCTTCCCAGCTGCTGGGTGGGCAGGGCCAGCGCAACCAGGATGTCTGACCACATCATTCCCTTGCTATAATCCTGCGGGGCTCCTCACCTCCCCCACCAGCAGTGCACTCCTCAGTCTGGCACCCTGCTTCTACCCAGCAGCAAACATCCTCATGGACCTCATGGCCACACTGCATCTGGCACATTCGCCACCTGGCAAAGTCCCCCTCCTCCATGAAGCCTTCCCTGACTTCCCCCAGGGAGTTCATCACCCAGTGGACCAGTGTCAGCCGGCCCACTCTACCTGCCGAGCTGTGTAATCTGGTGTTTCGACCTCTCTGGGGCTGTTTCCCATTGTAAAACGGGGCACAAACAGCTCTTCTAGGTCAGAGCTGACGTGCAGCCTAGATAAATGTTAGTGATTGGGGTTGGTCCACGGACCGATCCATGAGCCCACTGGAAAGAGTGCTGGGCCTTTGGTGCCTGGTGTCACATGGACAGCCTACCCCTAGGCTGGGCCGTTGGGATCTGTCCAAATGCTGGGTGATTCTGCACCCTGTCTGAGCCTCAGTCTCTCCGCCTGTAGGAGGAAGTGTCTCTCCTTCCCGCTGAGAAGGCTTCCCAGCAGGGCCGGGGCAGCTGCCAGCAGTGGAAGAGCCTGTCCTGGGGTGCTGGCCGCCGACAGTAAGTGTGCCGTCTGCCCAGGAGTCCTGCTGCTGTGCTAGGACAGGGTCCTGTGCAGCTCTGCTTCCCCAGGATTCAACCAAGACCCCACCTGCCAGGTCCCGGGGGCCTGGCATGGCTCACCTGGCAGGCATCGGACTTGCAGTCGAAGTAGCCGGCACAAAGCATGTTGGGGCTGATGTCCGAGCCATACACCTCGGGGCTGCTGCACTTGTGGTCGGCCACAAGGGGGACCAGTGCCTCCCGCAGGGAGCTGGAGTAGCCGCTCACATCTGCAGGACATGAGCTTTCAGGGGCGGGGAACCCTGGCAGGCCTGGCCTCCCCTGGGCACAGCTCTGGGAGCGGCTCCCACCCCCCACTCACTCTCGTCCGTGTGGCCCCAGCCGGCAATCTGGCACTTGTGTCCCACCGGGAACGTGCTGCCAGACTCGGGCAGGCAGATGGGCTGGACAAACTGGGAGCGGACAGCACAGCGGTCCCCTTTCTTCTTCAGGCGGATCAGGACTGGGCGGGAGAGGTCAGAGGTCAGCCTAGGGTATGGGGGCTAAGAGGAAAGGCTGTTGGGGGCCCATGATGGGCAGAGGGTGGCCAACAAGTTATTTAGGGTGCAGCCCAGCTGGGCAGAGGAGACCCAGGAGTCCCTGGACGGAGCAAGTCAGGGCTCCCTCTGGCCAGGTGAGGCTGCACAGGCACCCCTGCTGCCCTGTGCTGGAACCTTGACTTCTGGCCTCGGATTTGAGGTGCACAGGGTCCCCCGCTGCCCAGATGTGTCTGGAGCTTACCAAGGTCATGGTCGCTGGGGTTGAACACAGAGTACAGGGGGTATGGGATGTACTTCTCGATGCCAAACGTCTGTGTCACGTCCGTTGTGCGGTTGAAGAAGTGTTGGCCCAGCACCACCAACACGTTCTCCCTGCGGGGACTGTAGAGGGGTGGTGACAGCAGCCTGGGCCGGCCCTTCCCTCAAGCCACTGAGGCCAACCCTCCCCCACCCCTGAACGAGACCCTCCAGCCTGTGGCTGAGCATCGTAGTTACTCCAGGAGGGCCAAAGGTGCAGGACTCTGGTCCCAGGGAGAACATAGGTGCTGGGGAGGCCAGCCACTCCCTGTTGGAAGTACAGTGCGACCTCCCGCACCCCATTAACAGCCCCAGTGGGGGAGCCTCATGTCAGGCCCAGGTGGGGTCTGCTGAGCCTAGGCCCAAGAGGGGAGAGGCCTGGCCTTGCCTGGAGACCCCTGCCCTGGCTCCTACCTAGCCTGTGGGGTTTCCAGCAAATAGCAGCTTACCTCCTCCCCCACCCCAAGGACAGAGCCTTTGGCCCCCCTCAGTCAGCCCCTCGGTCCCCAATCTGAACCTCAGTTTTCCCATCTGCACAGAATGTCCCTCTCACCCTCAGCCCTTCTTCCTCAGACCCCACCTCTACCATCTAACTGTCTGAAGCCTTGGGACCATCCGGAAAACAGGCTCCCAGCAGTTTGATGCCTGGCACACAGCCGGCCTGGGGCCACCCCTGGCAACCTGAGTCCAGGGCCAGAGCCTGAGGAGCCTTTTGGATCTCGCTTAGGCGGCCTCCTAAGGAATGAGGTTGGTCAGACATTCCAACCTGAAAGAGCTGCCTGGGGTGAGGGACAGAGCCCCAGAGTCTACCCCTACAGGGCCACATTCCACCCCTGAACCTGCCCCTCACTCCTCCATTCCTGCCCGCTCCCACCTCTCCAGTCCTGCTGGGCCTGGGGGAAGCCTTGGGACATGAGCTGGGGCAGGTGTGAGGCTGCGCCCCTTCTGACCCATGCGGGAGTGCCTCCCACTCAGCCTGGCCCTCCTTGATGTAGGAGTCAATGCCTGCTCTCCTCCAGCCTCTTTTTTTTTTTTTTTTTTTTTTTTTTTAAATCTGCCATAGGACATGTGTGCTGGCTGGAGAGACAGAGAGACAGAGAAAGGGAAAGTAAGAAGTCATCCCCCAGGGTGATGGCTGTGCGTCAGTCCCTTCTCCATTCTCCTCTCGGCATTTTGGGCATGCACGCCTATGCACCCAGCATGGTTTCCAAGCCACTAGGTCTGCACAGTCAGCGGCCCCATCCACCACACCACACTGCTAACCTCTTAACCCCCGCCTCTTAACCACCACACTGAGGACTCGGTGGGCTCATCTCATAGGTGCTACAAGCAGTCCACCATCGAGCAAGGAAGGAGTAGAGCCCACAGCCTCCCCTGGGTGCTGCAGGCCCTGGGTGACTGCTGGGAAAGAAGGCTGCCAGGTCCTTGCGCTGGCCAGATCCTGCTCCCCAGCTCGGAATCACTGGGGCATCTCTTCAGGCCCATCCTTTCCCCAGCCCCTCCAGTTCGATGTCCCTCCAGGCAGGGCCTTGCTGCCTCTCCCCTCACAGCACGGAGGGCCTGGGAAAGAGAGGCCTGGTTCTTCCCACCCAAGCTGCTCAGTCTTAGGTCTCTGACCTGGTGCCTCTCTGGGTGTGAGCTCAGGTGGGGAATGGGTTGGGCCTACTTCCCTGGCCCAGGTTCCCTGGCCCAGCCCAAGACACTTGGGCAGTCCATGCAGGGTCTGCAACCCAACCCTGTCCCCAGTCTTCTACACCCCTGCATCGCCTCCCTGGCCCCTCGTAATCTGGAGTCGTGGGTCTGGGAGGTATGGGGTCTGTGAGGAGGACAGGGCTATGCCCACTACTCCCCTCTACAGGAAACACCCGCACCTTGGCTCCCAGACCCACAGGGTGGATGCTGCAGGGGTGGGCTCAGGGGCTGGGGCAGAGCCGCTCACCTGTTGGAGAAGCAGTGGGCTGCAGATACCACCCAGCAGGTGTGGATGAGGCTGCCCGTGCAGAAGCTGTCCCCAGTGTAGATGGCGGCCAGCCAGGGGTGGGAGCCAGGTAGGGAGGACGAGCCCCCAATGATGCGAGGCCGCAGGAACGTCCTCTTCTTGTGCCTCTTGCCACAGGTCTGGCGTCCAGTGGGGGCTGGCTCAGGCAGGGTTGCCAGGACCTCAGGGGCCAAGGGCTGGATTCTGGCGAAGGATTCTGAGAGCACAGGTGACCAGGTCACTCCCAGGTCCACAGAGTCAGCCCCTTTTGCACACCTTGTCCCATGGAGACAAGCCGGGGAGGTCCTGGCTGGACCCGCTGCCTCCTTTCTCAGGCCCCCCCAGCAGCTCACCCGCCTTCTGCTCTGCCCTAGGCAGCCCTTCTGGAACAAGGTCTGGGCTCAGCCCAGCTCTGCCGCCCTGGGCACAGGGCTCACTTCTGAGCCTGGTCCCCATCCACAGGACGGCAAGAACGAACACCCAATCCCAAGACTTCATGAGGGCCAGAGCAGCCTGGGACACTTGGAGGTGTTCGGCCCCTCCCAGCAGCCCAGTATCCCACAGACGACCCCACGGTAAGATCCTTGCGGTGCAGTGACATGGGAAGCTGCCCCGTGGGGGGCTATTCTCCCCAGGGCCTGACTCCAGGGGTGCCTGCTGGGTGGTCTGCCCACATGGTGTCCCGTCTCTGGGGCCATCCCAGGCCTGACTGACCATGGAAATGGGCACACTGCAGGCTGGGCAGGTGACCAGTCCACAGCAGCTGGTGGCATCACCCACTCTGTCCCCTGGTGCCCGCCCACTGTGACACCTGGGACCAGCTGCTGCTGTAACCCTCTTCCCCATCTCTAGATGGGGCAGTAGCCAGGCATGAGGTGGGGTGGGACGATGACAGGAAAAGCTGCCGTGGACTCTGTGGGTTCGAGGCAGCACCGCCCCGCTCATCCTCCCGCCCCGCGTGAGCTGCACACCACAGGCCGCCAGGCGGCAGTACTCCCAGGACAGCGCGTTGTCCTTCACCACGTAGCACCAGGGCTTCTCGTCCTTGTCTGGGTTCCTGGAGTGATGGGGAAGGGAGGGGTGGTCACACAGCCTTTCAGAGAGGACACGGGGCTGTCACAGCCCAGCTCTTCTGAGGCAGCCTCCCAGGCAGAGGCTCTCAGGGCCTTTGTCAACAGGGCTGGCGGGGGTGTGGGAGTCAGGGAAGGGCCTCCGCAGGACAGACCCTGCCCACCCGGGGTGAGGTGGCCCGGAGTGGCCTGGCAGGTGCTGACCGGCAGTAGGCGTGAGGGCCCAGGCCAAGCAGGGCTGCAGCGCCCACCGAGTCCACATGCAGCTCCTGGTAGAGCAGGTCGGAGTTCCAGGGCAGGCAGTGGAGGCCCGAGGCCGCAGTGCTGGCCACCCCGCGGTACTGGGTGCCATTCCCCAAGAAGCAGCTCTCCGCAGGCACTACAGGTGGCAGGGTGGGGAGTGAAGCTGGGCCTGCAACGGAGTCCCCAGGTCCCATTCCCCCAGGGCACCAGCCAGGCCACGGACTCACCAATGTTGCAGAGCCTCCCAGTGTAGCCTGGCGGGCAGGCGCACACGGTGGTCCCAGTGGCCACGATCAGGTGGCAGGTGCCCCCGTTCAGACATGGGCTGCTCAGACAAGCTGGGGGAGGGCTCAGAAGCTAGGCCATGGGCCTCCAGGGGCCCCGAGGGATGTCAGGGCCAAGGTCCATCCCTAATGCCCTCGTTGCTGAGTGACCTCAGGCAAGTCCTTTCTGCTTCAGTGGGGGGATGGGCACATGCTGGCTGGCACACCCCCCTACCCAGGCCCCCCGGGCCCCCCCCC